TATCTTCTAAATTTTTTAGTTCATGCACCAAACTCAATCAATAGCTAATTGAGGTCAACACACCAACACATGTGACAGTGTTTTGACAGCTGACCCACACTTTAACCCCCAGCAGGTATTTTGTATGCATACAAGCTAAAACACATGTTTGCCAATGCCAAATGACTGCCATAAAACCATGCTGACAAGGAAGTCCTTTGCAGAACATACATATATATTAATATTGCCCAGGTGTGCATAGGGGGAATCAAAATTGTAATGTATTTATCTGAAACAATGTGAACTTTAATCTGTTTTCATTCTTGACATAAACTACAGGCAATGTGGCATAGAACAGTGTTTCAATACGATGCATAAATCACAACATTTCCTAATCCAATGTACACAGAATTAGAAAGCAGCACTCAATAGTTGCGTTCACGCACAGCTCCTTTGCACGAGCTAAGAGGTCAAATTCCTTGGCCCGTGCTAAGAAAACGTGCGTGAACACTAAGGAATGCTAAGTACGGGTTAAATCTGATCTGAATTTAAGACGTGGTCTAGACCTTAGCACGAGCTAACGAAGTATGCGTGAATGCTTAGCCCAGGGCTAAGCGCCCCCTGCAGCGACCTTTGGGTATGAAAATTGTCCCATGTTCGTATAACGACACTATTCCACCAGTCATTACTCCGCGCTCGCTTCCACACTAATCGGGTCACTGTAGTAGAGCGTACAGCAGCTCCAATCGTAGACAAAATAAATTTGGTTCGCTGTCTACGACATGCATTAATAAAACTCTGTATTCTGTTACGCCCCTTGTATACTGTTTCTGTGCATCAAAATAAGTTGGGTCTGTCTTCTATCTCGTTCCTGTGCACATCTCTTCAAAATTAGAACGAAACATTTTTCGTTCGTAAATAGCGGCTTACCAAAGGTCACCGACTAATGGCACCCCTTAGCCCATGCTAATGACTGGCACTCCCTGTGCGTGGACGCAATTGGGTCTAGCCGAAATGCAAATATGCTAGATAAGCCTAAATCAGCTTAAATCTTAGCCCGTACTTCGTGTAACGTAAACAAAACTAATGACTTGGGCGCCATGTTGTTGAAAGATTGGAAGTTCATCACTATGGTATATGGTAATATGGTTGCCACTGTAAACTTTCGGCATCATCAACATAATGATTTTGTACAGTCTGATACTCCCCATACAAAACCTTTTGAACAAAAACTAAAAGCAATATCTGAAACTGTCTGTACATTTCAAAATGATGATGAAATTTAGCGACGATTTTACAAATTATTAAAATATTTGTACTAAGTTTTTGGGTGAAGAAAATACCAGGCACTCAAAGGATTGATAGAAGAATGCAGTGATATTTTCGGTATTTACGGAATAAAATAGAAAATCAGAACTGTGTGTGAAATTCTCGCTTAAACCTGCCAATGCTAGATCACATCATGGCAATTGTTACGTCTGTCTTTAACTATTTTCACCCCCCCCCCCCCAATAAAAAAAAACGAACCACTATCAAACAAAAATTATTCTATTATTACAACACAAATAAAACAATTTCTATTTCTATCCTATTAATTTGCACTCTTATTTTTACTACTGCATTATATTTCGTTTTACAACACTAAAAGATATACCATCACCCAAGGGTGATCTTTTACAATGTACGATGTTTCAGAAAATACGATATTACATTTTTTTTTTTCTGACTAGAATGTGTGGACTGAAGCCATGACGCTACAATTAATTATCACACAGCAAGATTTAAAATTCCATTTTGGGAAAATTATTGACATGCTTATGGAAAAAGCACATGTACCGAATGACAGTAAATATCTATGGTCACAATCATAAGAGCATCTCTAATCTGGATAACTGAAATATGACTTACGTTGACCATAAACACAAATCAGTCATTTACATTAATGCACACACAACTAATCAGAATATGCAATTGCTGCCACTCAAATAACAATTTTGAGATTAAAACCAGCAGATTATTACATAATTTCACAAAAGGCAATGAAAAACATCAGACAAAAGAAATTGTGCATACCTTTAGCATTTATAAACACATGACGGTGAATTTAATATAAAATCAGGTGTCATAAACACAATGCACTTTTCTCCTTCTCACATATCTATCTCTCTTTGGATCACAAGAACCTGTCAAGCAGCCCAATTAAGATTACGCAAATGAGGTATTTTTATTCAAATTAGTATACCTTTGTACTGGGTAGCTTTGGAGCTCAATATATTACAATGGTGACAAGAGAAAACATATTTAGGTTAGGTAGGAAAGAATGGGTGCAGACACACCTCCGCGGATACAAACACCAGTTGTTTATACACACCAGGAACAGCACTACTTATCACTATGAAGTTAAACAAGGCGGAAAATCAGCCAAATCATTTCATAAATAAAAGAACTCGTCAATAACAAATAATCTGAGAGCTCCACAAAAATGAGGTGTATTCATAATGAAATTAATGAAAACTGGGTTACATACAAAAGTAAAACTGGACGCCTAGCTACGATAAACACATGGGAAAGACTTGTACTATAACTAGCATTGACTACCGGTATGTTTAACATTTCAAATGTGAATTATAGTACAGGAATGGATCTATTAGTGGAACACGCTCTCACATCTGAAATGTGTGTGGTCAAAATAAGACAATTTCAAGATCAAGGACACAATACAAAACACAATTTTTGGTTTATGTGCACTTCTATTAGAGAAGCATCTTATTATTCTATTAGAGATCAGACTCGGCTATTCTGAAATGAAGCGATAGTACGAGTAAGGTATACAACAAATCCTACAAATCATTAAATTGTCATTGCTAGAAACTGCCACATTACAATCACTTGCAGGCATTTGTGATAAACACATGTCTCAAACTAACAAACGTCAGTGAAATTTGCAGTAAGTCAAAATTGCAGGATTTTCTCAGCAAGTTCATTAAACCAGTCGACAGTATTTGTGATTAGAATAGGCAGAGCCAAGGAGACTTTAAATCTTCAAAACACATCCTCTAACCATATAATAATCAAGCATACGCTTTAAATTGATAGTTATACAAAAGAATACAATTTTCATTTCCGATTAACAGACATCCTGGGATGTTAGAAAAGACTAGAAAAAGATGATACAAATGCAAGGTAAGTGACACAGTTACACAGAAATAAATATTACAACAAACCGCGTGATACAAGACATTGTTCTAATGTGTACAAAAACAGTACCATTTTAAATCATGATGGAAAAACTATATGGTTCAATCCAACAGGTGTGTATCAGCCATTCTATGAAGTTATACTACAAGAGACATCAGCTAAGTAGAGAACAATACTCAGATGAGGAAGTTGTCTTTTTTGAAAGGAAGGTATAAAGAACTCGCTCAACCATGAAGATACTTATTGTCATTCATAGCTATTGTATTGAATAGTAAATAAAAACAGAGCATACTGTAAAATACTTTATTTTAGCTGGGATTAATTTTTCTGTACAGATTTTTAATTTATTTCCACTGTTTTTTGATGAGTTGAATGTAAAATATAAGAAAAAAGGTATATTCGCTGGATTTTATTTTTACTGAATCATTCCTTCAGCGAAAATTAATTGCAAGCTAAAATAAAGTATTTTACAGTAATTTAAAATCAATACTGCACATATTTTCAACTCTCACATGTATAGCAATGCATAAAAAAATTAAACCCAATTCTGGTTCAACATTTTTTTTGTTTTTTTAACAGAGCCCTCTGACATGTCAAGTTTTTTTTATAGTATGTGCGTTTCCTATACTAATAAAGAAAATCACCCAAACATAAAATATTTGTTTTTAATTTAAAGTATTTTTTTATGAGGAAGGGAATAAAATAAATGGCAGTAAAATATTAAATATGTTATATTTATTATAGCATTTGCAACACGCGGTTAACTGTATTGTCAATACAGAACCAACCTACTTTGTATTCACATCGCTTACATAAGTAAACCAAATAATTATGCATTTACTATTGGGGCTTGGGTGGTTCTCTTTTACACACACAGACACAAATTGGTATGCAGGCACTCACAGGAAATTAGTTTGAAACCATGCCTGCCAATATGAATAGGAGAGTGACATGGTCTATGTACTCAAACTGTTTATCCACGCATAATAGCTATAGGCTGCAATTCACCTTACTAATAACATGTAGACCAAAAGAATGCACATAAATATGAAATCAAAACTGCCACTGGCGTTGGGAGAGAGAGCCATTTTATAATAGTTTGTGTATGGCATATTTAGCTAAGAAAGACCATGTCTAAACTTCCCTTCAATATAATAAACAAATACTAGTACATCACAGGTGTGATCTAAAGCGTTGTACGATATATAGCCAGCCAGCAAATGGCCAATGCTTGTTTTACAAACACTTTAGTGATATGATTTCTATATGAGATGAATTATATAGAAACATATGCAGAAACAAATGCATGTGAAACTCAAAATGGCAGACCAAAATCACCTATGGTCAGCCATTTTGTATTTTCTTTAACCAAAGTTATGAAAATCATAGATATATATATATATATATGCATCCATTCAGCACAGAAACACTGACAATTATATCGCATTTAGACATTTCATGGTTGACACCATTTTGAAAACGACTGACATCTCTCTTTACTAGCTACTGTACATAAAATTCGGTGTGGTTCGTTAAAGTCAAGCTGGAACGGCACCCTTGACTGGGGGGTTCTTATATTGATGGTTGGGCCATGTCAGGGCTATCCAGGTTCAACGCTGAGGGTTTAATGGAACCAAACCTGCTATAAGCCGGCTTTAGTTGAGCGTGTCTACGTGCTAATTTTGCTGGCTCAAGCCAACTTGAGCTGTTGGGCTCCAATGATATACTGTGTAGATGAGGCAATTGTAAAATATGGTTATTGCGTACAATGCACGTGTGTGGTGAAGTACGTCAGAGATTGGAAGAATAGAATACACATATACCTGCTTGTCCCAGCATCTTATAAAACCTATATTCCAGATGTAGCTGGGGTGCTCTTGATTTCATAGGTTCCTGAAGAAAACCAAATTGGAGGGATTCAATAGACTATTGTCCATCATGAACATGGTTGTAAACAATTAACACCAATCATTAAAACAAATGATTAGCAGTTCACGTACATATGCTTTTACACTGCAGTATTTATTCAAATTTACAGGGCACTTACCAGTTTTATTGCCACATGTTCGTTGTTGTATAAATTTTTACCTGTAAAAGACGGACACAAAATACAGGAAATAAATAAATCAATAATTAACTATCGACGGATGTTAAATATAAACATCAGTCACTTTAAACTTCGGAATTATAAGATGCCACAGTTGTTCTTGTCTGTAATATATTTGTCAACAACTATATAAGTAGAAAAGCCTGTTCAATCTACACCAACTTACCTAAACGTAGTTCCCCGAAATTCCCACATCCAATTTTTTTGCCCACTCTGAAGTTGGGGCCAACCATGAGAACACCAGAGTTACTGGAGTTGCTTCCCCGACCGGCGGAATGCATCCTCGCTCCGCTCGTTCGCGGTTTCCTCCTGTCATCCTGGCGTTCTTTATCTTTATCCCTGTTACTCTGCATTTTGATAATCTAAACAAGTTTCTAATAAAAAACAATATTTTCACCGGTGTAAACTAATATCTCCTTTGCGACAGAGGTGAGTTGTTTCTGATTCCTTGTTCTACACACTGGCGCTGGCCAAAATCTGTGTACACATCAAGTCGACATGACCCAGGTTATTTCCGATCAGACAGTAAATCCGAGTTCAGACATCCTAGGGGAACAACTAATCGAAGACATACATTCCAACGAAGCATCTGAAGGCAGCGATTTGTTAGAAACTCCTGATATGTGCAAATAATTCAAGAAATACAGATTTTTTGTTCAGTGATCGAACCTCCGTGACACGACGGAAAAGGAACTCACGGTTGACATGGATCGCTCCGCAACATAAAAAAGGTACGCCGAAAGCAGGCGATTTCTTTTTTTTAAAATCACAATTTGTAGATTAGAATGGAAAAATATACTATGATATCCAATAACATATTCCAAAGATGTACACACAATTGTGAAATTGAACGTCCTGTCCCCGAACTTGATCGTCTCAGTTCTTACAAATGCGCGACACAAATGAGTGAAAAGTCCAAGATGGTTCCACTCTCATCACGCATGCTCTCTGAGTTCGGTTGCCATGGGCGGGACATTCTAAACAACAATAGCAACCTCTTAAATTACGTTGTTATCGTAAAGATTTACACTTATCATCACCGAAACAATTTTAAGAAAATTATGTAAACATTTTTTTCACGAAAAAACAGGTGATACTCTCAATTCACGTGTTTCGACAAGAATACACATGACGTCATCGATCTGCCGATGTGTGATCACGACTTCCGGTTGACCCATAACCTTTAACCCGACGTACGCGCGGCTGTCTGGTCTGTTTTCAAAATCTACCGGTCGAAGTGGGTCATTCGCGAATAAGTCTTGAACTTTTTCTTACCAGGCTCACAATTTGCTGTGATAATGGTTGGGAAGGAACAGTATCTGGTTGTCGTCTCCATACTTGACGGTAAGTCATTAACTTCCTTCATTTCGAGTGTGATTTTAGATTTACGTTTGTGTTTTCGTGTACGCTCTTGTTGTTCACTTGAACCACCCATGTTTATTTCCATTGCCGTGGTACCTGTTCTGATATTTACAAGGAATCGTTTCCCAGATTACCTGTTTTTTAGGGTTTAGTAAAGCACTGGGAAAAGCCTGCATGTCATAGAGAGTGTGAAAAAATGTAAAGTTAACCTTAACTAAACGACTTATAAGATCTTTGCTAAATGACTTTACGTGACGTTTTACTACATGTAGTAATGAATTTGGAAGTTAGAAATGTTTTTTGGATGGTTGAAGTCGTGAGGCATGGCAGGAGAAGGATTGTACTACATTGTTAATCAAAAACGTAAAATGTCTGAAATATGAGTACATGTTTATTTACTTTCAACGGTCAATAAACTGTATTTCTGAAATGGACACGAACACGTTCGTACAATACATATTTCCTTGTTCACTCTTGAGTTGATTTTGATTTGATAAAGATTGAAAATATTAATCTAAAGGAAAAATAAAAAAAATAATAAAAACAAGCAAAAGATGAATGATTTCGATCCAACTTTGACAGGATTTTAAATTCGTGATCATTGAAATATGGAGCTCTATGAATGAACACAGTTTTATTTGAATTGAAATGAACATGTGCCAACCTGTTTGTCTGTCGCCAATGTCCACTCCTTTTTTAAATGTACACAGTCCTACCACAGCCAATCATCTGTTGATCATTACATTCAAGATTTTTTTTTCCTAAACAATTTTAAATCTTTACGACTTTTTGAAAAAAATATTTGTACCCACCATACATGTCTCCATGGAAAGACACTAACTCCAATATCTGTGATTTGTTCACAAACAATTCCATTTTTTTGTGTGTTTACATTTATATAAAAGCTTATAATTTACATCTAAAATACCCAATATTTCTGAACAGGAAGAAGATTTCCAAAGAGAGGCAAAAACAAATTGATTGTTGAAACCAAGTTTGATGGAGAACTGTTGTCTACTGATCCTGTGGATCACATTGAGACGCCAGAGTTCTCTACAGAGCTGGCCTGGGAATTGAGTAAAAAGGCATTGCATCAACACAGGTTGCAGAGAACGCCCATTAAATTACAGTGTTATGCAGTCGATACACTTACAAATGCACGAGAAAATGTTGGCTATGTTATGTTAGATTTGAGGACTGCTGCATTCCAGGAAGACATACTGGCCAAAGCACCTGTTGTAAGTGTTCCAAGATACATAACTCTTCTCAGCTTTCTGATGTTTTTTTTTTTTTTTAAACATTTAAATTAAGAACTTATGTTGTAATTCAAGGGTAACAACATTAGAAAAATGGGTGCTGCTGACTTGAAAATCCAAACTCAGAATGCAGGCCCGAACACGATACATGTGTGAATTTCCTTTAGATTCGATAATTTTGATGTTGACTCTGCCTAGTCAATGCAATTTTAACAGCCATGACTGGAAATGGTCATATAGTTGACTTGTAAGTCACTGCAAGTTGTCTTATTGTAAAACATTATACAATATATATTGTTATTTCTATATTGTGTTCACTCATAGACAGTCCATCGTTTGTATTGCATCATTCGGTGCAGCCATTAACATACAATTATTATTTACTAATAGCTTGATGAGTTTATTGTTTAACACTTATTGTTGATTTTATTGGTTTGCAGCAATCACGTTGGTACCCTTTACTTAACACTAAGTATGCTAGACTAAAACCAGAAGTGCGAATTAGTATTACACTTGAAAATGACAATCAGCAAGAAGAAAGCTTCAAAGCCAGAGGGGCTCCTCCCAGAAAAGCACAAGGTACTCCAGTTGATTAGGCTTATGCTTCTTCATAGCACTTGACAAATAAAGATCTTTCTTTTTCTCTGTGTCATCATAATGAAGAATTAATTACAGCAAGTTATTGGGCAGCAAGTTTGGGGAACGTTTGGTTACTGATAGCGATACATGTATTCAAAACAACAGAAAGACGAACAGATCATTGTGACCTCACTCACCAGAAAACGTTTGTTCTACTTCTTTTTTCTGCAATTGGAACCATTTTGAGAAAATTGCATTCATCAATTTCTCATGCTAAACGCTCCACAGAAAGTACCGGTTTGGTTCCTTCTCGCCATTGTGCTTTAGTGCTGGCCTACTGTTTGTGTTTTGCAGCATTTATGGAATTTGTTAAATTTTGGCTTGAGGAAATGTTTTCAAATGAAATATATAAATAAATAAATAAAAAACTATGAGTAATATATAGCGTATTTGAAAAAAAACGCATAATCCCCTGGATTGAGGTGTGAAATGATACCCTCTGGACTCTTAAACAGGCTACCAAAGGCAGAAATCAGTTGAGTCTTTGAGAATGGATAAAGAGAGTAGTAGAACACACATTTGTACGTTTTTGATAACAGCGCCTCTTTAAATTGCTTTGGTTTAGAAAGTGAAATCCATGATTCTCCAGTTACAATGTGTTTCTTTTTAGGTCAGCCTGACTCTGATGAAGAGCTTGATGTGAAAATGTTACAACCAGTTTTGAATGATTTAGAAGGCTATTATCAAATCGGGCCTGAGCATAAATGTTCTGACATGTTTGTGATGTCCGTTACTATTGGATTTGCTGCAAACCTGACACAGGTATTTATTTTGGATGTCATGGAAGTGGTATTCTGTCGTAATATATGAAATCAATGTGTTAATCATTCATTCAGATCATCTTATGTGATACAATAAACAATCTAATTTTCACCGCGAAGAATTTTCTCAATTTCAGGGTTTTTTTGCGAATCAAAAAGACATTATTTTACAAAAGTAACACTTCAAGTCGTTAAAACTCAGACAAATTTTCACTGCTACAAAATTCACGAAAAATTTTCTTTGCGAAATAAAAGTGTTTACAGAATTCATTTGTGTGTATATTTATAACTCCAAATAAAGGTCTCTCAGTCTCGTACTAAAATAATTACCATAGATATTTTTCACTGGTACAACAGCATCCTAAAATAAAAGAGTACTAGCATTTTGTAACTGTTTTATAGCATCTGTTACAATCATGAGACCTTACTAAAAATAGAACTGATGTAATAATTTCACACCGCTCAGCACATAAAACAGATCAATGTACATAATGTGCGTTGATTATGTCAGTTTTAACCTGACTGTGTTATTTTGACGTAATTTTACAGTGATTTGTTGTGGATTAATTCCACAAAAGTTTTCTACACAACACTAGTTATATAAATACGATCACTATTTCATGAATAATTAATAGTATTACGTAATGACCAGTGTGAATTGTAAAATTTTCATCTACCGAAAATATTCATTACGTGATAGTTCCATTGTAAATGCATTGTAAACAAAAGTCACCATATCTGGATGAACCCAGATGGAATTTAACAAATGACCATGATTTCCGTAACTTGTGATATTTAACCATGTTTTTCTGTCTCAAAATTGTGTGATACTGTAAAATACTTTATTTTCGCTGGAATTAATCTTCGTCGAAAAGACTTTTGGGCGTTTTGTATGGAATTTATTTTCACTGATTTTTGACAATTTTAATGTAAAATATCGGAAAAAAGATGGACTTTATTTTCACTGAATCATTCCTTCAGTGAAAATAGCAAAAATTAATTCCAAGCGAAAATAAAGTATTCTACAATAGCAGAATTAGTAAGTGGGCAGGAGTTTAAGAAGTTTAAAACTATTAGTCAGACACCTACTGATGCTGTTTCTGTCCATTCATCATCCGTATTGACTATCAGCAGGTGTCGTGTTAATATGGAACTTGAGGCAGAGGCAATCGGTATTTTGCCCTTATTTTGACATTTCTACTTGAATTCCAAAAAAAAGCTTCTTATGCTACTTGTCTTACTCACTTATATTTATTCTTCAGCTGGTTCCATCATCAATGTCATTACCAGCCAGAGACAGCGGATTTTTCTTTTACTACAATATGTTCGGCAATGATGTTACGAATGAAGTATTCCACGATTTGTTAAATCCCACCTTTCCTGCTGAAAGGGCGTCCGTTAGACTTCGCAGCAGTCCTGCCGCACTTCAGTTGTATTTTGTTAGTCAACCCAGTCTACAGGTGAGGTTCGGTGATGTAATACCTTCTCAGTGCTCAATCAAGATGTATGTATTATTGTAATTTCGTGAACATGTATGGTGAGCTTGCGCAAAGCCTCAGTGTAATCACACAAAAAGATAAAAACTGGGACTATGAGTTATTTCCGTATATAAACTAAAAATCGCATACATTGTATCCTGAATCATAGAAATACATTACTTATTTTGTCCATAGAAACAATTTCCATGAATGCAATTGTAACTAAGTAATTTTGCTGCTCAAAGGATTACTATACTAAAGTTTCCACGTCTCTTTGAATGATACCATTGTGCTAAATGCTGCTACACTACTGGAATTGTTTTGAAACGATAATAACATGTGTGTATGTTAATATGTTATTGTCTAAATTTGTTCTCAGGCATATTTGTGTGTGGGTGACCAGTCGCTAGGAAATGCGACTATACCGTTAGCCGGATTGATGAAAAAAGACAACATCCCTCTGCTTGATACCCAGCCAGTGGCCATAGAGGGCGCTTTTCGACTTATCCCACCACAGCGTACGCAACAACAGTTACCACCGGTGCCCATTGATTTAGCACCTGTTGTTGGAGTGTCAGTTTCATTAAGAAGAGAGGAAATCTCGTTAAAAGCTCCTGTTATTGTAAGTACACTTTCTAATGTGACCATGGTGCGCATCATTTACAGTAGAAATGTTTATCGTATTTCACAAAACTAAATCAGATTGCTCTATGTTTAAAGCTGGATAATTCTATCATGTTTGGCCACAGAAACGCCATGCATACATTTTTGAAGAAACCAATATAGATTATTTTACAGTGTCAGAAGTTAATTGTCACTTTTGTAAAACCAAATTATCGGTAATGTAGTATCCTCGAAATCTATACTTCACACTTGAGAGTGCAAACAAATATCACTGGAAATATACTTAGGAATATTGCAATGCTGCAAGGGAAACTGATCAGTTTAATTTGAAGTCCCCTGGAATAGGCTAAATAGCTGCTGTACTTATTTGAGAAAACACTGCATAGTTTTACAGTACCCAGTAATTTACATCTGTTTAATAATTGAAAATACCCGGTAATACAAATTTTGATCATTAGAAACGAAATTACTCATACACATATTTTTTTTTTTTACAGATGCCAACTCCTCAAACCCCAGAAAAGCAGTCAATGGACCAGAAAGCAGAGAAAATAACAACCCCTCAAAAATCACAACAAGAACAACCCACAAAGCTCAATCATTCCCCTCCTGAGAAGTTAGAGCGCCCTCACCAGGCTACTTCCCCACCGAATAGTCTTGGAAGCTATACACCGATAGATGATAGCAAAACCACTAGTGATGAATTAAGTAGTTTAACGCTGGAAGATAAAGACGTCAAAAGAAGAAAAGATGGTGTGTATAAATACTTTTGTTGTTTACTTGTATATAAAAGATCATATACTTGCCTAGTCACACTTTTATAAGTGAGTATCACCCACATACTCGTAATATCTTTTGCATTTTAAGTGAGTGGACAATATTTCTCTAAAATGTATGAATGTACATATCTTTGTGCATATTTTGAGCAAAAAAAACTAGGACTTACAACAATGTAAGTATACTGCATTAGTATCTTTGTTTTGAAAAAATTAAAAACTGTTAAACTTATTTCAAATGTAATATGCAAATTAGCTGATTTACATAGAAACTGTACATTCCAGTCAATTTAGTCTTGTGTAAAAATGCAGAGCTCTCTAACTGTAGGAATAAAATCTTTGTATGGTTTCTACTGATGTCATCTATTATATTAATAATAGAATATCTGCTTTATTCTATGTTATAGGTGAAAGACCAAAAGCAAATATTGGTGTAGGATTAGAACCAGAAAGTAACAGTACCTCCTCCCATCCCGTCCTTGCCGTGGATGCTGCGGCCCATCATTATTCTTTCTCCATTGATTTAAGAAGTATCAAAGATGTTGACACACCAACTGCTGTAAATATATTTCTCAGGTGAGGCACACATTTCTTTTTCGAATTTTGCAAAAATATTTCCAACATTTTGGGCCCTATGTAAGATTACAAAAATTAGTATCATATTAAGTACAGTCGACTAAGTATGCAGGGCATCACAGTAATGTTTCTTGCCATAAAGATGCACATTTTTGTTATTTTCAGGTATACATACCCATTCTTTGGTAGTTCAGCTCCAATCATGACGCACCCACCAGTGGAAGTGAGACGAAACACCGAAGTACTTCTTCCTCATTCTTTCTGCGCTTTTGACTTTGCTACAGCATCACAACAACTGAAAGAGACATTTCTCAGGTACCTCAATTTAAAAAAATATTGATTTCATCATTATTGATTTCATCAAAATCCGCAAAACTAAACATTTGACTGAGCAAATCATCCAGTTTTGAATTTGAAGTTCAGGAAATTTCTAGAAATATTTTATAATTAAAAATCATTTTCAGGTGAATACAATATAAGTGTGTTACTGAAAAAATTGAAGGTGATTGATAGGTGTGGCAAATTGCATGAAAATATGTAATTGAACTTTCAAAAAAAAAGTAATTTAGCACTGCAGTAAGAGCATACTTTAATACTGCATGAGGGTGTTTTTTTCTTGTTTCCTTGTACTTTGCAAAAATGTGAACCACCAAAAAATAAGAAATATTAAAAGTAGATATCTTGACCTTTCTACACATTTTAGTTTGAGAGTACTGGATGAGCAAAGAATGAATATCTATTGTTTACAATGTCACTTATTTAAGACAGCTCGTTTAAATTCATATTCAGTTAATTTTTCATTCCCAATTCACAATCTCAACATTTAAGAGTGTTGGTCAGAAAATGGTACCTCACAGATTTGCGACTTCAAAATCGATGATATATGTTTTTGCTTTTTTGATAGAATTCCACTATTGGTTGAAGTATGGCATAGAGATAAAATGACGCAGGATGCTCTCCTCGGAATTGCAAGATTTTCAATGGTTCATATTCTGAATGCAGAGAAAGCTAGAGTAGCTGTAAGTCTTATTTCCTTTATGTTGTATCAATATCTCCATTTGGGATACCAATTTACAGGTTTTTTTTTTTAACAAGGGAACAGGGGCGCAGCGCCCTCATGCTATGGCCATGTACCCATGCAGATCCTCTGGCAACCATAAAATTCATAATGACCAGGGCTCACATGTGGCCACAGTCTTCAACTATGACCTGTCTGATAGTGATTTTGGCCTCAAGGAAGCCATAGAGTGCTCCATTTCAACTTAGAATTATCAAAAACTCGACACCCTGGTAGGGAGAACCCTATCTCCCCCCACTTGGTGGCGCCGCTGAATTGCAGTGCCCCCTCTTCTAGAAAAACCCCTGCCTTAGCGAATGAGAAACTGTGTTTTTTTGGTAAACGAAAATCATAGAAATTTGTACTTCACAAAGAGATCTCTCTAATTGCTTTTGGACATTCGATTGTCCTCTCTACTATAATTTTTAATGCATTTAATTTTATTTGTCTTTAAATAGAGTAAGTTTGAAGGTTCTCCCCAGGGTTGGAGACAGATCTACAGCGAAAGGGTACCCGTTGAGTCAACTGACGGTAAACAACGTAAGATTGCTGAACTTCATTTGGTAGTTGGATTGGAGGACTATGGACCAATTAACACCAGAGAAGTCTTACTAAGTACGGAACCATCTCAGGTAAAAATAAATCAAATATATAGTGCCATATTGTGTTATTATTGTTTAAAGCTATATTGTAGCGTAAGTTTTGTTGGACACCTTTTAGGTAATGAACACTATATGTGTAATATACCTAATGTAATAATGTCAGGATCCAACACAGATAACTTGCGAACACTAAATATGGTTCATGCCCCATTATGTTTTGTTTCAAAAATGAAGTCTATTGAATAGCAAATTTCATAAAAATCAGCGTTACTGCCAGAATTTACAGTAGTGTAAAACATTTGATTTACAGTAATTCTTAGTCATTTCTGTGTACTAAGACACTGATAACAGAATGCAAAATGGCTGTCAAATGTTTCTGAACACAATTCTCAAAATGTATTATTTGTACGTGTTCAGAGTAGTACAACTGAAATCAAACCTAAGGAGCCTAAACGTGATGATGTAGAGAAAGCTAAGGATGCCAGAGAGACATTGGAGTATAAAACAGCAATGGAGTTAGAGATGTGGAAGGAGGCACAGGAAGAATTGTATGAACAACAGGTAAGTGCTTGGTAGTTGACGATTGTCGATCATTGGAGACATTATTGGCTAAGCTGTTCTCGCTCTGCTATCTTATTTGCAGTTTCTTAGTATAAAGAAGAATTAAAACCTTTTACTGTTAGTTATTTTTTTTAATTAAAAGCCATTTGCACTTGAGGCAGAAAAAGAGAAAAGAGTTTCTGGTCTAAAGATATTCTAAAAAAAAATGATGCAGTGATACATAGTATTTTTTTGCCATTTTTTTTTTCTTCATTTTTACATTGTTTTAACAGAAACTAGAAAAAAACTCATTTATTTTGTTATGTGATGCCATGGACTGAAAATAGTGACAACCTTGAATTTATTTTGAACCTTGTATCCCTTGGCAACTCCTGAGAATGGATTTTTGTTAGAGCACCCTCACCAGGCTACTTCCCAGTGGAGCACTTCGTGGATGTGTTACTTGGCAGGACACATAATCAATACAAGTGCGACTTTCAAGACTATGAGCATTTTTTATGTTGAAACTGCATGTTTGGCTTGTTCACTGTCTGATCGTTTTATCCTCTTTTTTGTTTTAGTTGAAGGACAAAGAAGTGCTGCACATGAAAGCACTGGCCGAAGAATGGAAGAGACGAGACAAGGAAAGAGAGCTTCTCGTCCGGAAAAAGGTACACACGACTTGGTTACTTTCAATGTTAGTCAATGTGCGAGATTTAGTGATCAACCCATCTTTCACACCACAATCCAAAACAAGTGTATTTCTCTTTGTAATCTTTGTTAGTTGATTTCATTTTATTTATTTTTATATTTTGTGTTTTGTCCAGCATGGTCAAAACCAACTCTGCATTCCATGAATTGTTTTGCATTGATAACTCCAGAGGGCGCTGTACACAGTGAATCATTTTAATCTTGCAAATTATTATGTAGGTTGACGAGTACGGTAGATTAGAAGATCAGTTAAGACTGGCGATTACAGACGTAGAGAGACGAGAGAGACAGCTGGCTGCCAATGAATCTGAGGTGATGAGACTAAAGTCTGATTTACAAAGAGATTATGAAAGAAAACTAGCAGAGATCAAAGATGCATCGCATCGAATGAAAGAAGACTGTATCCATCAAGTTGAAATGGAAAGGTATTGTAATCTATTTTGTTTTATATTCGACCATGTACATGTAAACATGTTTATGTTAATATTCACAAGAATAACTGTGCTTTCCTTGAAGTTTTCATACCTTATTTCGACCAATGATTTAGAAAATTGTTTTAGCTGCAAAATTTTGTTGACACGTTTCTTTAATTTTATTTGTGAATTTTTGATGAATTTTTTATTACTAAATGCTAATTCATAATTTATCAGAATGGAAGGAAATTTTAGTGTAAGGCTCACTAATGAAAAAAAATTGATGTTTGTCAAATTTTGTAGTGTCATTTTGTAGTGTCTGTGGCAGACTATTTCTCAATCTCAAGTTCTTTCATAAAATCTTGTTCTTCGATGTTCATCATTTAAACCCAGGAATATTCTAAAATTTTATTTAAACTAAACATCTAAGGTCTAAAGTCCGTGATTTGGAAGAACAAAAACAAAGACTCCAAGAGCAGTTAACAATGTCAGAAAGGAAAATTGAAGAAAAAGAGAAGGACTTCCAGGTGTACAGAGGGCAGATAAACACCAAACCTGAAGTTAGGCTACAGTCAGAAATCAATCTTCTGACATTAGAAAAGGTTTGTCCTCTCAACTGTCTTCATTCACAAACACACCAAACATCAAAGAAACCAGAGAACTTCCATGATTTACCTATTTACTCATTGTTTATTTCATCAGTGACAACAACACTACTTTTTACTTTTAATAACTATACACACAGGTGACATTACAAAACACTATTACAAAAGTATGTATTCTAATACATTAGAAGTATCTCAAAAGAAATCACAATATTTTTATAGTTTCGTTTGCATTTTTCCCATGTGACTTCAGTCTCCTGGTTGGTGGATCAGTTTGGTCTTTCTCTTTCAATTGGAAAATGTTTGATTTCCTCAAATTTTATTGCTAATTTTGCAACTACCGGTAATGGGTACATTGTATATGTATGATATTGACTGCAGACGAGAGGTCGCGCTTTTTCAACCTTGCCGTAGAATAGTATTGAAAAGCATTGTGAAACCAATTCATCTAACACATCAGGTGCAATGAACATAGTTCCGGAGAGAATCGCCGATAACATTTCCATACATGGATGTCCATGCTCAAGAATTGCATTATAGATTTTAATCAATAGTAGATTTTTGTGGAAGGCAGCATAAGTTGTTGTTGGCTGGCATAATATCAGTGGTATTTCTGATTATTTTAGGTTGAACTAGAGCGAAAGCTGGATGCAATTACAAAATCAAAACTGCACTACAAACAGCAGTGGGGTAGAGCCTTGAAAGAACTAGCAAGGCTGAAACAAAAGGAACAAGCAGAAGCCAGGACACGACTCAAACGACAGCAGCAAGAATTAGAACACATGCGACTGAGATACTTGGCAGCCGAGGAAAAGGAAGTCGTCAAGTCTGAAAAAAAAGAGTTGGAAGAAATCAAAGGTGAACTCAGCAAGTAAGTTGTCATGCTGCAGTACGTCATGCCTTAACTTTTAAACAAATGTGCTACATGGGCAAGCATAGAACCATTTGGGGTATTTTGTGATCTAGTGAAGTTAGTATTGACCATTGTCATTTGTACGAATCGCTGCTAGGCAGTGAAAGGTTGTATTGGTATTTGGTTTTATTTTGTTTAGCGTTGATTGCTGTGACTATTTTAACTAGTAAATCTGTCGTATTTTAACTTGAGAAACTCTTAATAAAAATATTACACAATATAGCTTGAAAATTGTACCCTCGCGCAAGGAGAACGTTTGCCCACATTATCTCCTGAGCTCTGCCACAAACACTCTTGGTAATATACCAGTAGGACTAACTATAGAATGTTCACCATCCTGTGACTAGGTGTAAAGACAAGACAAGACTAGACTAGAATGTTGATTGAAAATTTCAGCTAAAATAAGATATACTCATGTGTGAGAATATTGTCACTATTAAAATGCATATCAACCCAGGGTTGCCAACTAATCTATGCCATCAGTGAAATAACTATATCTGACTATCCTGATACAGCTTCCTAGACTTGGGTAGACAATTTTATTTGATAATTCCTTAAAGAAAGGGCTTTGTAGAATCTCTCACGCTGATGTGAAATTTCCATGACTGGCCCTCTATAGTTGTCACTGCATTTTTGAGGTGATATGCTCATGAATTGTAAGCTACCAACCAATAAAAAGACAGCTTTTGATCTGACCTGTTCTTAGCAATTATAACACATGTGTGACCTGACGCACCTCTACTTTCCTCTTCTGGTAGTGTTTAACTCCAGGTTCCAAAATGTCACTGCATCTCATGAATAATTAATAGCAATTAATATGCCTCGGAATAGATCAGTCATAGTAATTTCACATCGAACCACGATTTAAGAGAAAAAAAAATTATAAAATTGCCACAGCTGGGGCCAGTCTAGTATAGGTACTCCACTAGAACAGCCCTGAATGATGTGTTTATATTGGCATAATTGTTAGTGTGTCTGTTCCTGTATCATCAATATTGAATGTTGGGCGGGTTACCCTCTTGCTTATTTCCGAGTATGGCATACTTTCAGATGGGGGTGTAATTATGTCAGCTCCAAGCATTATATTCCGTTTTTTTTTTTTACATGTACAAAAAAATTACAGTAATCTTTCAGCAAATGTGTCATGATTGAATAAAGTGTTTTTAACAACTGTTGACAATAAACCAATATTTCTGCTTTTCACAGATTTCAGCAAGAACTTCAACAACAGAAACAGCAGGCAGAAGCCAAACCAGCTGAAGAACATATATTAAAAGTTGTACAGCATGATGATTTAGATTCCAGTCTTGACGAACACATCGGACGATTGGTTGAAGAGAGAGACACGTTACTCAGAACAGGTGTTTACTCGCACCAAGATAGAATCATTACAGAACTTGACAAACAAATCAGGGAAGCCATAGCAAGTAAATCATAAACTAAAAATCACTACCAAGTTGGAGCGAAATAATAACTCTTATAAAAAGCTGTGAGCTACATTTTTTGCCCCCTCCTCCCAATTATTTATGTTTTTGGCAGTCCCATGCATCAGTTATAAACATGCACATCACACTTTTTTATTAAAGAATTTTCAAGAAAAAATAAATTTACTGACAATTTCAGAAAATAATAAATAAACGTTGTAAGCAAACATTTTTCAGAACCATTGTTGTGTTATAAATTGAGAAGTTTTTCCACAACAATAATAAATCTTCCATCTGTCTAAAAGCAGTTTACATGTGCATATTCTAAACATTATACTTGAAGAATTTACATTTTCTACCACGAAGGTCATTTTTAGTTTTACTGGAGCAAAAAATGTTGCTCATAGAGCTCTAAGTATAATATATTTTTAGTGACAATTAGACAAGATAATACTGTCTTCAGTATTGTCATAGCAGATGAATTCCATTCCATGTTATTTTTAAAAAAAGTAAGATATTTATTCAATAACACAAACTGACGAAGCGGACGTACTCACACGAGTTTTGTGATTAGAAGCTGTTGACAGCGTTTCAATTCATTCACAAAACTAGAAGTCAGTTTGTTGGGCATGACAATGTAAATAATTAAAATGATATCATATCTCGTCCAGTGTATATATTATGATAGTAGAATTAAAATCATGAATGAATTAACTTTTCACTAGACGGTGCTAAATTTTAATAATTTGTCTTCCAGTGACATTTTTTCATAAAATGATTTATTTTCTGATTGTTTTCATATTTATTCTTTTAAATGGTCATTATTTCAAGTTCAGTTTTGTTAAAGACATGTCATAGATTATAAATTTGGTAAAGTTCAAGCTATTTACTGGATGAATCATTAAGTTTATTTGTTTATTTCTCTTAGTAAAGCATCACTTTGTGTCATATCAATTATGGGTGACATGTGACGTGTACATCACATACAAAATAATGTGTTTGTTGTGATGACTGTGGATCAATAAAATGAACTTGATGTATTTGAATTTTTCAAAAAACTACCAACTTTTGAAACTAGTCCAGAACAGCCAATCAGAAGAGCTTTTATTTTCAGTGTCAGCTCTTGGAATATTTGGTGTTTGAACACTTGATATGTGCCTACTGATGTTTTTCCAGATCAAATGACTTTGTCGTGTTTGATCTCATAATCATTATTATGGCAACAAAGACAGTGAAAAAGATGCGTCACATTTCACCCATACCTAGTGTTATAATTATACACTTTTAAGTCATCATTATCATTTTATTTGATTTTTTTCATTTTATTAGTTCTTAGTTTATTTTTTTAATGTTCTTTGACAATCATAACTGAATTTAATTCACAACATGCAATCACGACTGGTGCCCTATAGTGTTCACATCTATCAAGGGTTCTATGTTTTTATTTTGTCATTTCTCAGTTTATTCTTGATTTTGTAAATAAAGTAATTTCTGTATTTTTTTTGTATAATAAAATAATTATTTGTTTAATTTTTGATTCGCTTAAAATGAAATCTCAGTAGTATTCTTAGTGTTGAAAACTGCACAGTGCTTCTATTTGATCACGCAATTTGGAGATTTCATTTTGACTCGTGGTCACTACAAATCTGCCCTGTTACAGGCCACACTGTATTCCGCTGTCCCGAAATGCTCCTCTGCTTGAAAATATAGGAAAGAGTCATTTGCATTCTCCAAGCATCTTTTTTTTTTATTTTAACTAAGGTAACTTTTATTAATTGATAAATATGAAATAAGTTGACAAAAGTTGCCCAGTTCAAATACAACCATGATAACAAGAACACTTTATTTATTTGCTCTAGGTGTAGTGCCTATGTAAATGATAGAGGGGTGTGTCTGTGTTAATAAGTTGTATTTTAATGAACCAGCTTACAAAATGTGTAATTTTTGCTTTGTGTGCTTGTAATGCAGTTTAAGTGGTAGCTGTAGCTCTGAATGCATTTCCAACATACCTGACAATATTGCAATTATACGACATGAATCACCCCCTCTAACAACAACACTTAATGCTGCATTTGTTTTTATACAAAATGTTCTTTCATTGGTGGCGCTCTAGTAATTAAAAAAAGCAGTTTTACACGACCATACGGGACGGGACGCATCTACGGTAGTCAATGTATTGGCGAGACTGGTATGCAAGCATGACGCTTGATTTTCTATAGCCACATATACATACTTGTAAGTCTGCTGATATTCGGTAAAGGGGAATTTTATTGTCACGTCGCACTGACGTCGATTGTACATCCGCAAGCACAATATCACGCATGTGTGTTTCCGCAAAATAATGCGAAACGCCGTATCTTCGACCGGAAAATAGTCGATTGTTTTTTTGTCGCAGTTCAGAGCTATTTTTTTTTCAGAATCATGTATTTGTATTTTGCTATTTTCAATAAAATGTTTGTGGATTTGTTTTTTTTTTCAAAATTCATCAATAACATTTTGGGGAAATGTAATCGTGAGATATATAAGATATTAGAAAATTTCCTAACGACCGAAATACAAATTCAGATGTCTTAGAGAACTTACGGAAAAATAATTCGTTGAACTGCAGAATATATCTTATTATACATGTAGTAAAAAGTGAAAGATACATCACATGAATTAAACACTGCATTCAAGTATACGAATAGTTTCCGGTGTATAGAGATGGGCGTTTACGCTACTACTTTCACATACATTTGGGGATTGATGATTGTCCGAGCGGCATAAATCCCCGGATGCGATTACGTGTAATATTTTTGTTTTCTGGGATGTTTTTTTTTCCGAGACTGGGGCGGCTATATCACAACATTTTTTTCACTTGGTAGAAATATCATTTGGTTAAAGATGCCACATACTTTGCACGGTATCGACGTCATCATTAACGTCATTTCTGACAAAAAAGGACTTCACGTGGTCTTTGGAGATTTAAATTTCGGACCAACGCGATTTTTTTTCCATGGCAATTCTTGAGCGATCAGAAACAACGGTAACATTGACAGTGGCAGCGGCACGGGTGAGGGGGTCGGCCCCAAATCAAGCTGAAACCCGTTATGTCAGCAAAATTTGCCCCTCAAAATGCAGGAAATAGCGTTTCAGAGGGTCCAGATTTCCAACATGCCTGGGGCCCCCTAGTAAATTCGCGCCTGCGGCACAAGGTTGGTGAGCAGATCTCGCCCCCCCCCCCCATCTAGTTATGTTTGGTCATGTAATATTCGGATTTGCCATGGGGTTATACAATATTATTGAATCGCCTTTTCACTGGAACATGTGATAGAGAGACTGTAATTGGGGAAATATAAATAAATAACACAGGGTTTTCTACTTTTTTGTTTCTGAATAAGACTCCCAGTACAATTCAAGCACGGCAGATTATGACTTGACTGTTTCTGATTTTTTTTTCTCTCTGTTTTTGACTTCACGTTATAACGACAATTAGACAATTATATCTATATGGACTGGATACGGCTTTTTCGG